GAAGCCCACCGGCAGTCCCACTCCTGCACCGCACGCGTCAACAACCACGCGCCTCCGCACACGCACACGCACACGCACGTACCAAGTCCGATAGCCAAATTGTCGGCGGAGGAGGAGGTGATGATGGTCTCGCAGTGCACACCGGAGTGACCAGACTCGCAGATGCAGGTGCCGAGCTCATCGCTGCAGAGGCCCTCGTTCGAGCACAGGGTGCCATTGATGAGGCAGTGCTGGAACGGGACCACGAACTCGCCGTCGCACTTGAGCGCCTCCAGCTGCGTGAAGACGTAGGTCTTCGTGGCCTCTATTTGGTTGGCGCTCACGCCGTAGGTTCTGTTGCAGAGCAACCACCCCAATAACCAATGGGGTGAGGTTGAGGGGTAGATGAGCTTAAGTTTCAGGTCCAGTCGTGTGAGGGAGAGATCGTACCGAGAAAGGTCAACGTCTGCGGTCTCGCTGGTCTGCGTCCAGTACACAAACTCGACGAGGCCGCGCAGCTTGTTGCAGTTGGACTGCTCGGCGTGAAGCAAGAACGAGGCCCACGCGACAATCGGCCAGCTGTGCTCCCCAGGCGCTGTCATCCACACCACCAGCATTATCATTAGTCTCATTATTCGGTTGTGATTTGTAGAGATTACGTACCCAGTATGAGCGGCATGAAGGCCATTTCGGAAGCGGGGTTGAGCACGAAGCTGTCCCCGATCGCTGCGGTGACTGTATCTTGGGAGGCAGCCACGACGTTGTTGTCGGCGTTGACCAGGCTCGCCATGTTGGCCGCTCGGGTGGCGATCACTTGGAATGGCGTCTGTGTGTCATTGATAGACATGTGTGTTATTGCCAGGCAACAAGCCAGATCTGGTTTGACGGCGCGCACCCAAAAAGTGAAGGAGTAGAGGGTTGTCTTCAGCTTTTGGGCCAGGTCAACGGCGGTCACGTTGGCCGTCCTGTTTGCCAGGTCCTGCACTGGAAACCTCACTTGGCGCCCCACCCCCACCTGCGCGCGTCGTCCAAGCCAAGTCAAGTCAAACCCGGTCAACGTCGTGGGATGAAGTTAAGTTGCTCGTACCGTGTCGTCCCAGCCGTCGACAGCCACGCTCAAAGCGTGCGTGAACAGCTCGGTGATATCGGACGGCTCCGAGAGCACCAGCACCATGATCTCCTGATCGGGCAGCGCGGCCGGCTGCGCAGCCAGCAGGTCGGCATTGAGCTCGACGATCTTGGGGTCGTTCCAGCGGGTCACGCTACCCAGGTAGATCTCGGCGATCACCGACAGGTTGAGCACCAGCGGTTGGTCGAGGCCGCTGAGACTCGGCAGGTTGTAGGCCGGCACGACAGCGATGGCCGCGGCGGGCAGGATGGTGAGATCGGGCACGGCTGTCGTGTTGAGCCCGACAGTGGTGATGCTATAGTCGACCTGCTCGAGCGACGCCTCCTGCACAGCGTCCTCGGTGTCGGCAAAGTAGTAGTGGAGCTTGT